ATGCATAGATACAACATATATTATAATATTCTATTCCTAAGTAATATAGAAAACAAAATACTATACTACATATGCTCAATTGTTAAAAACTATTAACCAGCATATGAAATTTTTTAATGTTCCACGTTTAAAACATTTTAGCCACACATTCAGTCAAAAGTAATACTTCCAAGAAGTAAAATATCACTGTCATAAGCAAATGTTTGTTAAGTAGCTATGAACATTGATAGTATGAATAATATTTTCCAGCTGGTTAGGGTTACCGCACAAACAGAGCAGTTTTGGGGAATCATTTAACAGCATTACGTTAAAATCAAATAACACACTCTTCCAAAGTAAGTAGAACAAAACTGATGAAAGACTAATTTTACTACAAGATAAAAGCAATACAGTCAAAAGTCTTTAATCCAGACGTCCATAATCCAGAATGATACCTATGCGCATAATACGCTTACGCATGCGCGTTTAACGGATAACGGACGGTATAAGCTAAGCTAAAATTATCTATTTCAGTTAATGTTGTAGATTGCGTGATTCCTTAATCTTCGAATTGGATCCGGCTTATTATTTTTTGCAGACTGTTAGAGCAATTTTATAAAAGTAAGCTTAAACTTTCGATTATATCAAAAAGAATTTCCGATTCTTGAGCTGTCAAAGGATCTACAAAGCGAAAGCATGTTTCGATATCCATCAAACAAAAAGGGAATTGCTGCAAAAATGGATAAAGACATATCCTTTGTTTCTCTCACCATTCCGAAATCTGTTTATCGATTTCACGCTGCTTTGCGGGGAAAGGGACGGCATGGCACGCAATGAACTGGAAGTTGACCTGTTAGCACTATCCTTATCTTCATGACAGATGTTTTTATTTTTTCAGCTTATAATTCCTTACTAAATGTAGTATTTCATCTCGATGTACTCCGTCTTTGATATGATTTAAATCAAATTCCTCTTCATTATAAATATCACGAATATACATCAAATAATTTTCTGGTTGCAATTTTCTAATTTTGACTATGCGTAATGTATGCTTTACGCATGCGCACATTGAAAGAAATGTTTAATAAAGTAAACAAATAAATATTAAGCTTTTTTTTTTGTAAATTTTGATACCCTTTATATCATAATTGCTCTTTATTTCATAAACTACGGTTTCATATTTTTAATTTTATAATTTCTGCATGCCATCTTACCAGATTTAAACTGATGATCTATAATCTGGAAATCTGGAAAAAGCGATAATCCGGAATCGCCGAAGTCCCAACGAGTCCGGATTAAAGACTTTTGACTGTATTATTGAACTTCTTTGGTGTGTACCCATCTTTCTTAACATTTCAAAAAACTGAACAACCATTTTTAATGAAACAGCAAATAATATATTTTCAGAAATTTCATTACATGTGTTAATATTTTTACCAATTCTCGTTTTATTTGCTTCTGAAGGGGGGAAAAAAAATTCGAACTGGTTGGTCTTTACAATATGGTAACTGGTAGTTTAGCGACATTTTGGAGGCGATAAAGGTTACTACCTGGGACTTTGGTAATAATGTGAGCAGTACTCAGTTCCGATTACGCATTATTTTGCGTGAGGGAAATGAGAGATCATGGGATATGTCATGTGATATTAATGGACGAATTACGGTTCTTTAATCGGAAAAGGGGGGAAATCGGGAAAAAAATGTGGAAATTTTGTATTTAGCTTTATTCTGTGTTGTGTGAAACAGTGTTGTTTAATTTTGGATCCCATGGCCCTAACTAAAGTGAATTCGAAATGGGTATTTAGGCATTGTGATAAAGAGAAGTTTGCTTTTTATTTAGCGGAGGAAGTATGGAGGAAAAATTCGCAGAAAAAATCTTTCAATAATTTTATTGAATGAATTAGAAAAGTGTATCCGCCACGTAATCAAGATTCTGAAGAAGATTAGGTAAGTTAGTATTTTTAATTATTTGAGGATATTATTTTTATGCATTGTTCTAAATGTAAGGTGGAAAGGAATTTGGTATTATTGGGAAAATTGTTATTAGCAATGATTTAGTTTAAAGTAATTAGGATTGTAAGGTAATTTTTATTAATTTAATGTATGTGCTTTCATTTATATTTTAAGTAGTGTTTTTTGAATTTAATTATATTTTAATTGAAATGATAGTTATTTTGTGAATTTTATGTTTGTAGGAATTTGGTATACGTTTAAGTTGAAGTAAACGTGCATGGAAATAATTTAAATATTGATACTAAGTATTTGTAATGCTTGCGGTATGAATTCGTTGGTGACGTGTATAATAATAGATGATTTAGAGGTAAAAGTTTTTGGATATTTTATTTATTTTATATGTGGAAATGTTCATATTTGGAAAGGGTAAATACTTTTTCGCGATCAGGTAATTTCATATATGTTCTTTTTACCGGGTTTAAAGATTGAGAAACTTGTCATGTATTTTCGTGAAATTTTTCTAATTTATGAGAAAAAGCAGTGTACATGGATATAGTGAAGAGTGTGCGCAATGCCATTTTTGTGCAATTCTGGGATGTTTTTTTAAGTAAAAATAAGTCGGCGTGTACATGGTTTATGTGTATGTGTTATTTTGAAAAACGCGTAAGGAGTATGGTATTGTGCACTTTTTCCCAATTTTGCAGTGAATATTTGTCATGATTAAGCAGTTTTGTTTGATAAAATTTCTAGCATAAGTGTAATTCGGCTAGTAGATTGTTGGAAGAAGTGTTCAGTAGATAAAAAGAAAAGAAACATGTCTTTACTTCGTGAAGACAAATGGCAGTGGGGAAAAAAAATAGAGGGTTGCTGTAGGAGAGTTGGTTGACAAATTTTCGCCAAGTTACCATAATGTAAAGATCAACCTTCGAACTTTATCAATGCACCTTCTTTTAATTTTATAATAATACAGAAACTTTTACGCATGGTAATCTTTTAAACACATTTATTCCTGAAACAGAATTATGAGATACACACATCAACCCATATATTATTAACACTAAATTTGGCACTTCTTAAATAGCCACACCTTAAATGAAACATTTCTATTTCATTGGCGACTTGGCGAAAAGCATTAGCTTAGTTAGCTTTATAGCTAGTGCTCTGTTCATAAATATTAATAAAAAGAAACAAAAAAACCAAAAGATTTTAGGAAAAAATCAAAAATACATATGGCAGATATTTACATCTTTACAATGAGTGGATATTATTCATCAAAATAAAGTTTAAATATAAAAAGGATGAAGCCACATGTATTCAAACTTGCATGGGATACATAGGTTAGCTATTATCACGCGTCTCAAAAATACAACCAAAACATCACAATTATACTGACCATTAAAACTAGAGATAGTGATAATGAGAAAATACCTTAATTTTTTTAGAAAGAAGCATAATAAAACACTGCATAACATTTGAGAGAAGGCATGTTTAAGTGTTAGTATGATAGAACTACTTATGAAGATTATTATTGAAGAATTACACTTCAAGAATTATTATTAATTTGACATCATTTCCCCAAATCTCATATTTCACCCATCAGAATTTCTTTATCTTCAATTATACCTTTTCTGTTTGCTTTAAATTTAAACAAAATCTCACCTCCAATGAATGGAACTTAACATTAACAGTTAACTCAATGAATGTTCAGATGACAATTGTTTTTGATTTATACTTAAGTATAATATATTTCTCTTAATTTTCCCATACTTCTGTTAAATATAAAAAATTAAGCCTTCAAACAGATATGAAAAGTATTACACAATTTTTAATAAGTATCATTAAATTTATTATAAATTTCCATTTTTTTCACTCTTAGTATAAAAGTTCCTTAAGAATTTCATACTTAAATTAACAAGCCCCTGGAAGTTTTGGATATGCAATTAAAATACTAAATGATGGATTAATTTAAGACTATAATCAAAATATAAAGTTCAGAAATACTGAACTATCAAATGTAGATGAAAGTGAAGAATTCTAGTTTGTCCAGATCTCTAAATTTGCTTTTATTTCTGATATATTGAATTGAAGATTTGACGACACTGCATGCACTCATTTTAACACCACATTAATAATAATACTTTGTATACTTATTAGTGCAAGGAGACTAAATCAATACTACATTTCTAGTTAAAAGTGACAAATATTATGCATCGATGAAAGCAATTTGATCCACATTATGATATGGCAATCTTTAAAACTCACAGTTAAATCATAAAATTATGCTGTTTCACAAGCACAATATTTTTAAAGATACACTCTGAAGTATGTAAACATTTTAATTAAGATATTCATGATCAAACTTTATAACATAAACACTTCATTCAGCAGAAAGTAAAAGCTATGCAATGACAAATATTATTTTTGATTATACTGAATACTCACTTTAAAAGTGAGTAATTTTAATCTTCCATCCTATGAAAGACATTCTCTTAAAATTTTGCTCAAAAACCCTTCCAGATATCCAATTTACTGGTACCTTAAGATGTGAAAACGGAAACAACAAATAACGTAAAAAATGTTTATATATCATGATTATAAGACCTGTAGATTTTGATCTATAAATACATGAATAAAGCAAAGAAACCAAAAATCTGAGAGGTAACTACTCATTTTTAAGTGAATCAATTGCCAGTGGCTAATTTAAATCAATCAATATAATTAAATGTCCTGATGTTATAAATGCGAAATAACGTAAGTACACAAAGCGAACGAAAATAAAACGAAAATAAATTAAGTACACAAAGCGAACGAAAATTCTTATATCAATGTATAACGAAATCCAAACATGCAGTTAGACACAAAGGATAAAAAATCCTATTCTACTAAGCATAAAGCATATGACATCGATCCGTCGAGAATCATCCACCATATTAGTTATTTCTAATGAAATGAATGAACTGCTAATATCATTGAAAGCTTTAAAAGAATTTTTTGTTATCATTAAAAATGGAATCATTTTTGTACTCTTATTAACAACCATATAGTAAACAGCAGCACGTGGTAACTTACAATATGTTTCTTGTCGCGTTGTTCTGGAGATTGAACAGCATTATCTTTCTGTTCTTCCGAAATCTTGTCATCACTTGTACCGGGCTGTTCTGAAGAACCGCCATTGTCGGATTTTTGTTGTTCCGTTGAATTGCCACATTCACTGCTTCCGCAATTGGCCGCGTGAACATCCAAACTTTGTCTTTCGTAATCTTTATATTCATTTTGTCCTTTTGTAGTCCAGCTGTCTTCATCTTCAGTTTTACGCTTCTTAGGATTCATTTTCTTTTTACGATCTCACGACTGAAGCGACAACAAAAATGGTGAGCTAAATTGTCAATCAATACAGTAAACAGCTACACAACAAGGAATGCACATTTAACGCTGTCTTCAAAATGTGAAGGATTGATGTAAATGCCGCCAATTGAAAAGAAATCTCGCAGAAAACGAGAAGGCGCGATGTGATTATATGGGAAAAAAAGAGTCGCTGTCACGCACAAAATTTTTCAGAATAATTCTACAAAATTGTGGGTAAAATATAATTCGAAATATTTTTTAAATGACAATTTGCTAATGCAATGAAAATTTCAATAGAGACTACTATTTAACAACTGAACGAATAACCTTAAATAAATTTTATAAACGGAATAAATATCGATAATGGAAGATATTCGAAAAGCTTATGCAAATAAATATAGAAAGCTATTTAAATAAAAAAGGAAGGCATACTTAGAGGACAGAAGGAAGATATGTCTGTTGAAGGTCATATGATCTCTGCTTGAGGGAAGAGTGGGGGTTGCGTGAGTAAAAGGAACGCAAGATGATGCTGCTAAAGACGTGCAAAACGATTAAATAAAACGAGTTTGATCACGATAAGCATATACCACCATTTTCACGTATCGTTTTCTCACAACACAATGGTTCATAACGTAAATTTTTATATTTAAGCAATAAATTTCGACGGGTATAACTCTAAATAGAAAATGATACTAGCTATTTAATTTTTGTACCATGTTTTCAAACCAACAATGCCCGGAATGATGATAAATTAAGGAAATAGTTTCTGAGCTTGAAATACAGATAAATATCCCATTTTAAATAGTATTTCGAATGTAAAAAAAATTTCAAGTATTCGGTCGCAATTAGCAATAATCACTTAAATATGAATTAGAATGCGTATCAATTCGAGCATTCCAAGATTGCATATTTATATAATATACGATACTCATATTGTGGAATGGATATTTAATGGATAGTTCCTGAAGAGTAATTTAAGATAATCTTTGACGTTAACATTTCGAATATCTAAAAAATTATCTAATCAGCATCGACTTTTTAGATTTCACCAGGAAGAAAGGACTCTTTTTCATCTCGTAAAGGAATATTATAGAGTTTCAGAAGTAACTTTAAGATACAACCATAATTATAACTTTTTGATATTCTTCTGCAGAAATAAAACTTTTGTTATAAAACCTTGATGGTTGCCTCAATGTTTCGGAATTCGGAATCTATCGAGCAAATATATAAGTTCTGCTAAACGGTTGAGCCTATTAAAATTTTCATAAAAATTTCATTTCAATTTTTCAAGCAACGTAATGGTTTTAAAAGTATATTTTATTTCTTCCTTGAACCACTTCCTTACTGCTACCACTATTTAATCGCGTAAGGCAGCTGTAATTGTTATTATTGCTATTACTACTTCCTGCTATAGAGAATCCAACTCTAAATAAGAAATTTTCTACATATTCAGAAGGCTCCTGAACTCAGAATGCTGTACATAAGTTATGAAATATTTCATAATGTTATGAAATATTTCATACATTTGAAAGAAATTATTATTGGCTGCTGGTCTCTTTTACATGTTCAGTAGGGTGTTATGCCTTGCGTTACGTTCTTTTCCTAGGCAAACTAAAAGCAGCGTTATAGCAATGACTGTTCGATATGGCCAAGGAGGTTAGAATAGAAAGAGGAAAGGTTCAACTCATACGGTGAAGCTTGGCGGCCATGTTACTAATAGCGCTGTGACTTGTGCAAGGAAGTCTGTAATTGCAACATTTTTTTCTTTTCTTATTGAAGCATGTCAGCTTCTGCTGCATATGGATGCACAAACAGATTTTCGAAAAGAGATTCCTAGGATTACTTTTCACGCGTAAGTATTGATTTTCTTTTTTTGATATTTTTAAATATATTAAAAATTACATAATGTCATGTAGTTTTCTTTTCAGATGTGAAAAAAGGACTTAATAATAATCAAAATATGTTAAATACATTTTAATGTTTCTGTTTATAGCTGGTATCTTCGTTCCTTAATATACAATGATATATACTAGGTTTAAATTGTATAATTTGAACGTTTTAGGTAAATCGTTTTATAATTTTCATATAAAGAAATCAATTGTTACTATTTTTATGAATTATAAAGGTGTTAAATAAAGCAATGCTTTTCTTTATGTATTAATTATTATTCATTTTTAATTTTTGTGAACTGTTACGAATATACGTACATATCAAAAGATTAACGTTTTGGAATAAAAAATAAATAAAGTATAGGAAACAAAAATTTTTTATATACAGATGAAAGCCACACTCAAATACTACTTTACATAGTCAATACAAATGGCATTATTGTACGAGCTTGGAAATTCCTTCGTCGAAAAATTCGGCCGCCTGCGCCTTCAACCACTTCGTTACCTCTTCTTGAAGCTATCAAAACGCTGCATAGCCAGCCACTTCTTCATTTGGGAATAGGTGGAGTCGCTCGGCCAGGCGGGACGTACGCGGATGAGAAACAACTCCCACTTAAAAGATTCAAGAACTTTACGAGTGACATTTGCCGTTGGGGCCGGGTTGTCGTGAATCACAAGATCTTAGAGCTACATTCCCTGAGCTGTTTTGAATTGCTCTTCTGAGGAGTTTGGCAATACCTTTGAGAGTTGTAGTGCCTCTTTCCAGGAAGTCCACAAAATTACAACCTTTTCTGTCCAAAAACAGTCCATCATCTCCTTGCCGACATTGTTTGCATTGCATTTCTGGGGTTTTTGGGAGAACTTGTGTGCCCCCACTGCATGATTGCAATTTCACAGTACATTTTCACCCATGTTTCGTCACGTAACCGATGCGATTAAAGAGTCACCATCCTTATGGTAAGCGTCAAAGTTCAACGCTGCAGCCATTCGCTGATTTTTGTGGTCATCTGTCAAGATTTTTGGAATCCATCTTGCACAAAACTTGTGGTAAAAGCTTTCGCTGATGATTTCGTGCAACAAACTTAGAAAATTTGGTGGAAAACTCAAAGAAAGTTCCGTTATTGTGAAATTCGATTTTCACGGACTTTAGCATCGACTTTTCGAGAAGTTCGGCGGTCAATGCTGGGTCCCCATTCGATCTTCGTCGTGACATTGGTTCGGCCATTTGAAATCTTATGACCATGACGACTCCACCTTCAGTGATAATGTTGTCCCATACACTTCGAAGCTGGATAGATTTCTATCGGTTTAGTTTTTGCAGTCAGAAACCTATTACTGAGCGCACCTCGCGGGATTTCAAAACGCAGACATTTCAAACCGTCACAGTATCTGAACGGAGCACAGCACGAACCTACTAGCACGGTAGATGCAGACTGAGCGCAACGCTTGACCCCAAGAGGCCGCGCTAGCCCCCCCTAGCGGACAAGCGGAAACGTAATCTACTTCCTGGATGGCCCTCGTATATTGAATAGATAAACTGTTTTATTTTAAAATTTTTGCATACAATTTCCGGGCATATAGCGATAAAGAAGTAAATATTAACAAGAACATGTGGAAAGATTAGCCAAATCTTTTTAGTAAATGAGATTTTATGATTAAGTGAGATTAATTGTGGGGTATTGGATTTTTTCTCAGAAGAATAAACGATATTTGCTTATTCATCTATTCATCTATTGGTTAGTTAATTATATGCCAAATTGAAAAAATAGGTTATGAATATATTATTAATTATTTATTCAATAATTTTATTAAGAGTAGTAATTCTTCTATTAGAAGAAGAAATTGTAAGAATAATAGATGTGGGTAAGGTTAAAAATAAATGACTATTTGTAATTGGGATACTAAATTTAGGTGGAATGCCAACTTTGTTAGGTTTTTTTTTTTTTTTTTTTTTTTAAGTGATGAGCTTTAATAAGATTTATTGAGTGTGATTTAGTGTTACTAATATATATAATTATAGTATCGGTAGTAATATTTTATGTATATTTTCGTATAGTTTATGATGTAGCAATAGGATTTAAAGTGGAGAGAAAGTGGATAGAATCTTGTTTTTATAAAAATAATAAGATTAATATATTATCGAGTATAGGAGTATTATTAGGTTTAATAGGAGGAGTAACTTTAAGAATATTATATGTTAGTAAGATAAATATTCTGTTAGCTTTCAAGGTTAAAAGTGGAAGATAATATGAATTTACAGTTCATCATCAATATGATTTCTAATATATATAGGTAATAATATAGGTATATTTCTGTAATTCAGCTTGATTCAAGGCAATTTCTTTGAGATTCATAAATATGAAATGCGCATAAAGTGAAATCATTGAATTCACATAAATCTGTTTTATTTTATTAATATTAAAAAGTGGAAAGTACACACAACAGGTTCCTAATAAAAGCTAAACAAATTCTTGAAATATGCAGAAACATCATTTTTAAAGGCTTTAATGTTATGCACATGCATTTAGATTTCGAACTACAAGGGGTGATCAAATGAAAAGTTACGAAACGACGTAAAAACGTAACAGTTAAATATTTGCATATTCCGCTATGGGAGAACGTAGCGATACATCTCGGGATACGGTTGGAGTCTGACTGGGACTGGGATCGGGGCGCCTGCATGCGCGGGAAAGAGCAGAGGCTCTTATCAAAAGCGGCGTCCAAATGATGGCGGCAGTCCGTAATGAGGATAGGATTGGCGTTAGCACTTGCAAAATTCGTCCGACTGAGGAGCAGCGAAGGTGTTATCCGATTTCTGACAGCGGAAGTTGAGAACACCGGCAGCTATTCATCGTCCGGATGGTGACAATTTACGGGGAGAAATGTGTCTCTGATACGTCTGACAGGAAATGAAGTACCCGATTTTGTGCAGGCAGTGAGAGTGTGGGTGATGACCCGAGATCAGGCCGAAAAACACTGTCATCACGAGCGATCTCATCGACAAGGTGGCCGACCTTGTGAGAAGTGATCGGCTTGTCACATTGCGAATGTTGGCGGTAAAGGTGGATGTCAGCTATGGAACCGTGTGGACAATTGTTCACGACAGGTTGCGATATCGGAAGGTGTGTGCCGCTTGGGTTCCGAAGCAGCTCACGGACCAGCAAAAGGAACTGCGTATGGGGCTAGCACTGCAACATTTGTTTCGGTATCAGGAAGACCCCGCTTTCATGGAGCGGATTGTCACAGGTGATGAGACCTGGTGCCATCACTAAGAGCCAGAGACAAAGCGGGACAACATGCAATGGAAGCATGCATCGTTACCCCCTCTAAAAAGTTCGAAGCCGTGCCGTCAGC